TRTATATATATATACTCTACATGATGGCACGCAATTAGGCAAACATGTATATTATAATACCAGTGATCGTATGATATATTGAATAGTACACAATATATCTCAGTATATATATATAAGTGACTTTAGTATAATAGTTTGGTTTTTTCATATATTAATATAGTATAGTAGTAGTAGTAGTAAATTTTTGTGGCAAAGGGAATGGTATTATTAATGAGGAGTGACATTAAAAAATTATATGCACCTGACGTTTGGACTGCATTCCTAGTGTGAGTGAGTGAGTGAGTGTGTGAGTGTGTGTGTGTGTGTGTCAATGTTTCTGTATAGAGAGAGAGAGCCACACACAGGGATTATGATTGAGTGCAAGAGAGAGAGAGAGAGAGAGAGAGAGAGAGCACTGGTAGTCTAGTCGCGGGTATCCTATTGTCGATGATTTCCTGGTATGAAATGCTATCAACTTTAATATACAGTATATAGTATTATCTTTATATATGATATATACTATATATATATTCATATACTGTACTACTAATCATATATTCATAACAAATGATAGAAATAACTATTAATACAATTATATAAAAGCAAATGAACAGTAAATTTTCTGTACGTACTATACATACGAAGCATATAAATGTGAAAAATTATAATAATATAATTTTTATATACTGTATACTATATTTATTTAGTAAATAGACTTTTAGTCAAAGTTTAAAAAAAAGTTTGAGAACAAAAAAAAATATTACTGAAAAAAATCCCTAATATATTATATATAGAATATTCTGTAAAAAACTATAAACATTTACAAATATTTAAATATTTTTCATATATAATATAATAAATTTGTTTTAACGGGTGTACTAAACGATTTGTTGGTTGAAATATATGGTACTCAGGCTTATGTTTACAGTGAGAGTGTATGCCTAAAGTTTGTGTGTGTGTGTGTGTGTGTGTGTGAGTTGACATAAATGTCTCATAAATTTATTTTTAGTAATACCTCTCATATAATTTATATACAGTAAATACATGAGCTATTAGTTAAAATAAAGAGAAAGAGAGTCAAATGTGTTAACACATATATATATATATATATCATTCATATACTCACAAAAATAAATACATACATACACTACTAGATCTTTGAATAATAGTATATAACTATTATTTAAATATAAAATGCCTGTCCTTTTTTTCTAAGGCAATAAGTACTRTACAGATAATATACTACAGTATATTCATATGTGTATTCATAATATTAAATAATAATAATAAGGATAATACAGTGTATGTGTGGTAATATAKTTTGATAGCACTTATATCACATTATAGCCATTTAGAGTACAATATATACAGGGAAAAAGCAAATATCAATAGATATACTGTTATATATATAAAATCACACATACCGTACACAAACACACCTGAGCCGGGTTTTACATCAAGTACTCACTACATATATGACTGTTATCTCTCTCTCTCTCTCTCTCTCTCTCTCTCTCTCTCTCTCTCTCTCAAAGTGAGTGCTATATTGTGTTTTGTCTGTTTGTTTTATAAGTCTCTTATATATAATGTGTCATCAGATTAAGTGAGTGGTAAAAGACAAACACATTTAAGAGGAGTTAGAGTTAAGATAAAGAGAGAGAGAGAGAGAGAGAGAGAGAGAGAGAGAGAGAGAGAGAGAGCACATAAAGTTTATAAACTAAAAAACTAAACAATAAAAACAATAGCTATGGATATATATTTGATGTTTTTTTGGTGACATTTACCTCATATATGTATACATGTATATGGGATACAATATATCTGTGTGAATAATGTTTGAGCACTGTTGGATATTATTATTATTATTACCTAACTGTGCATTTASACACTAAACTATTAAATATATATAYATATATATATATATCTAAAATGTCTGTATGTATGTATAGATTGTTATTTATAATAATCTAAAATAATGATAATGATTAAAGTAATAGAAAACAATAAGCATTTATATTATTAAATAAAATTACATTTATTAAAGTAAAACATTTAAATATTAAGTAATAATAATTATTATTATTACTCAATGATCTAATAAAAATAAAAAATATTGTTAAAAATATTTTGTACATTTGTAGCAAATTTTAATAAAGATAACATTTTTCAAACATAAGTAAATATTGTATAATAATWATAYGTAATAATAATAATAAAAATAAGAGTTACCATAAAAAGTTATATTTTATACATAACATATTGTAATAACAAATATAAAAATCAAAATAATATTAATAATAATCTAAATAGTAGTAGTAATACTAATAATAAACTGATTAAAATATGTAAATATAAAAAAAAATTATTTTCTATATTAGTATTTACATGTTATCTATTATTATTATTATACTACAGTATATTCTGTATATACAGTATATTGTAACCAAAAATATGCAAATTTCTGACTCAATAAAAAAAATTATGCATTGAATAAACACACTAACAATATTGTAGACCAAAAATATTTTGTACATTTTCATAACTCGAGGCTATATTATTTATCACAGAAAAAAAGTTATGCTATTAGTGTTGGTTAACATTATATTAGAGAGAGAGAGAAAGATAAAGAGAGAGAGAGAGAGAGAGAGAGAGAGAGAGAGAGAGAGAGAGAGAGTTAAGTGAAGTGTTAGTAAAAAGTTTGGTTTATAAATATATTGTATGAAAGATATGTTATGTTTTTTTGTGCCTAAAAACTAGTCTCAGTTATTGTGTGTATGTGTGTGTACAGTATGTACAGTATGTATGTGTTTTGGTATATTACTTAAAGCACTAGCTTATAAACTACCGGTGCTTTCATTCAGCTAGACTTCATTATTATTATTATTAGTACTATTACTGTATATAAAAGTTTATTTTTTTTATTTCTGGTACTTTTAGCTTTAATATTATTATTTTTTTGTTATAAAAAAATACAAATATATATATATACATACAGTATATATATATATTATTACGAATGAAAGAGTAGTACACTCTATGAGTAAAGAATTTAAAGAATATTTTCCTATTTATTATTTTATTAATATTTTTACTTAAAATAAAATAAAAAATAAAAAAATACTTTTAGTAAAAATATTTCTAAAAATTTGAAATCATATTTAATATGTTTTTTAGAAAATATAAGTCATATATTTTGTGTGTTAAACCTATAAATTTATAAATAAAAACAACAACAAACAGACAATTTTTAGTATATATATATATATCAAAAAGTTTATAYAGTATATGTATTATATTTATATACATTATGTACTGTATTTCAGTTTTATACATAGTTTTTAAACCAAACAACAATAACAAAAAAAATAGTGAAAAAAACAATTTGTTATATCAATTCAAATGCACTGTTTAAAAAAAGCCAAAAAATAATCACACAATCAAAGCATATATATATATATATAAATTTACAATTTCTGATGAAAAATATTTACTATWTTTACGGCTTATATATATATATATATATTTACGGTATATAAATATTGTTTATACTATTTCTATATGTTTTGACATATTTTTGCTAAAATATAAATTGGTAAAAAAATTTTTTRCAAAAAATAGTTATAGAGATAAAGATAAAGAAAGAGAGAAATAAAGATAAATTTACAGAATATTCTGTATGACTAAACACTTGAAAATAAATTCTTGTGATATAAAAGTTATAAAGATTTCTAAAGAAAAACACGAATTTCTACAAATAATATATATATATATATATATATATATATATATATATATATATATATATATATATATATATATATATATATATTTAGAAATATATGTATATATTAAGAGTAATATATGATAATAATTTTATATTCATATGTATTATATATATATATAATATAATATATTCACTATTATTTATTATATGGTTTAAAAAAGGCACGTTTATAACGCTAGAATAGTTATCAATGCAAATGTGTGCATAAATATATTAGATATGACATACACTTATTATTATTATTATTATTTTCATAACAAATATTTAGTAAAATACAAAAAATAAATCTATTGCTTCTTATGTAGTGAAAAATTTATTGTTATATTATATATATATTATTATAAATATATAAATAAATTTCTGTTAAAAATATATTTTTTTTAAAAATTTTAAAAATTTCCACATATTTTGTTTATATATCAAACCAAAAGATGGAGAAATAGTATACGTTTTAGTGAATAAATAATGAATAAATAAAATAGATTTTTTGACAAAAATTTGTTTGAAATATTTATATTTTCAAATATAACACTAAATTAATTATCAAATAATGATAATATATGAAAATAAAACTAAATAGAAAATATTTTTAAAAAAACAACTAAAACTATTAAATTATTAACTCTTTTTTTCTAATTAACTATATTTATGACTAATTAAAAATTTAGCTAATTTTTGTGTGTGTTTGCATTATTTATAGCTAGTTTAATATATATATATATATATATATATATACAGTATATATACAATTAAATACCAGTATATTTATATATATATATCTATAGATATTTAGCTTAATTATGTGTTTTTAAATATAATTACCCAACACATTGCCGGAATTAATTACAACATTATCTCTATTTTATTTTATTTTTATATTATTATCATTACTATTTAATACCAGTACTACTTAACAAATGTCAAGGTCTAATAATAATAATAATATTATTTTGTTTATTATCTACCTTGACAACTTTATTATTTAAATTAAAAGCAATTAATAAATATATATATATATATATATATATATATATATAAATTAATTTATTTTATAAATTTAGTTTATGTATGTTTATTTAAGTAATCACTTATTTTTTTAGTGTATTGAAAATTTTTCTATGCGCTTGATTAGCAATATTAGCATCAAATTTGTAATATATATATGTGTAGGTGTTATTTCAAAATACAGGTGCTATACACGACTGTGCGATAGTATAGAGAAAATTATATGACATACCTCTGTGTCGGTTCGTTTGTTTGTCAAACATCAACATCGCGTCTTCAATCTGTTTGAGATATAATACAGAAAAAAATTAATAAATAAATTTAAAACATTATATAAGTATTAAATATATTATTTAGTATAATAGATATATCATTTTCTCTTTCTATATATATATATAAATTAGTTTAAACATTTTTAAAYAAATATTGTTTTGTAATTAAATTTTATAATTATTTGTAGAAATATATTTTTGTAAAAATCTATTTATGCCAGAAATATAAGTTTGTTTTTAAATTATCATAATTATTATATCAAAAATAAATAAATAAATGCATACTATGTTTATTTTTACAATATATATATTATTTAAAATAAAATATATTTTTTAATTTTATTGTACTTAGTTAACAACAACAAAATAATTAATTGATTAATTAATTACAAAAATGTTGTAACAGTGTAATTTTGAATAAAATTTTTGACACTAAACTTTTAAAGTTTTAAAAAATTTATTTTTATTTTGATTTATCTAAATTATTATATATACAACAATATAACATATTTTTAAAATTTGCTTATTATGCTAATTAATATCTAACAATTATAATATAGCTTACATTGTTTTTAGTTAAATGTATAATTACACATAAAAGTCATTAAATTTTATTTGCTGCCATTGTCATTAAGTTTTATTATTATTATTATTTTACTTTTTTTTATTATTAAAATTACTTTTAATATTACTGTTATAATTAATTACAGACTAATGTTGAATAGGGGGGGGGGAAATCTAACAAAACATATATATAATAGTTAAATAAAAATAATATTTAACCAGATAAATCATAAAAATAATAATACTGTTTTTATAAAGTTATCTAATGTATAGAWTTTTTTAAATAAATATTTTAATAATTAATAAATATGTATGCATGCTAAGTAATATTTCAATATTACGATTATGTATTATAAAAAACAGTTATATATATTATATGTCATATTTAAATAACAACAAATAAATAGTATATTAATAATCGTTGTCTACAATATCTAGATTTTTAATTACCAATATTATTATTATTTTTATTATTACTAATATGTGCTAAAACATAAAAACACATTGATTTATTATATATATAGTATAACTATAAACATTTTTTAATTGTATTTTATATAAATTAATTTTTTTCAATATTATTATTATGCAACAAAAACAGGTAAAAGATAAATATTCAATTATATATATATATATATATATATATATATATATAAACTATAACATTAAAAGCTTTATTTATAATGAATGCAAAATACAATGTCTAAATACAGTATAAATTATATACAATATATTGATATTTATTATAATTGAAAGTTCGTGTCTAATCATAATTAGTAGTAACAAAATAATATCAAATAATAATAATAATACTAATAATATGATAGAGAAAATTAAAAATTATTTTATCAATATAAATTGCATATATATACAGTATCTTTTGTATATATTTAATATATATATATATATTTAGTGTTAGATCATTAGTGTATAAAATTATGATGACATAAGCATATATCTCTGCACAGACACACACACACACACACACACACACACACACACACACACACAGTTTCATCCCTTTCCTACTAATAAATTAATTGAAACAATATATGCTTTAACACACACACACACACATCAGCCATTGTGTTAGTTATATACAGTATATAAATTTTCTACAGTATCTTATATACTGTATATGTGTATTCACAGCACATTTACTTATTTAACTGTATGTATTATATAACACTATACGGTATTGTTTTAATATATATACAGTAATTTTTTAGCACAAATGTCTTATATTATGCATATGTTTGCAATTATATTTGTGCGACAATTTTCAAAAAGCAAAAAACACAATACAGTACTGATATTTTGTAAACTACTGTTCCCTTCACTGTTGTTTCCATTATGACTTTTGCTAGAGTTTTAAATATCTTTTTTTTGTTTTTGTTTTTTTTTTTTTCATTGTATTATATTATCTTGACTTATACTACACTGTACTTTACAGTACAACACTAATGGCATATTTATACTTTCCATTTTCCTCCCTTTCCCTCAGTGTGTGTATATATATATATGTGTGTGTGTATCTCCCAGTGCTCACATAATATGTATATAAAGTTAGTATTTAGTTGTATTATATATTTTATATAACTCTCTCTCTCTCCTCTCTCTCTCTCTCTCTCTCTCTCTCTAAACATTAAATGCAAATGAAGTTAAATATATATTATTATKATTTTAGACTAAATTTTTATTCTCTATTTTATATGAAGTTCTCTCTCTTTCTCTCTCTCTCTCTCTCTCTCTCTCTCTCTCTCTCTCTCTCTCTCTCTCAGTATCACTAACTCACTCACTCTTTACTTACTTATACTAATAATAATATAAAGCATACAAAAGAGACATTTAATATTATAAACGAAATATAACATTTGATTTTTTTTTTGTTTTGAGTATAATTATATAAAATAAAGTATTATTTTATACTAATATATCTATTATACTCATTTAAATTTATAAATGATATAATTTTTTTTATTTTAAAAAAAAGTAAAAGACTTTTTGAATAAAAAATTCTCTTTATTTAAACTAACAAAAAAATTTTAAAATATTTATTTATATTTATATAATACTAAATTAAATTATTCTTGCAGTTAAATTGTTTAATGATATCGTATTTCAACACAAATTATATATGTTTATAAAGAGAGAAAGAGAGAAAGAGAGAGAGAGAGAGAGAGAGAGAGAGAGAGAGAGAGAGAGATTTAAATGCTAAATAAAAATAAAACAAAAAAATAAATTAAGAAAAAATATATTTATAATGAAATTATAATTTTCTTTTTTTATATATTATTATTATGTTTTCTATTCAAGTTAAGTAAATAACGTTAATAACAATATGTTTTAAATTAAATTATAATTGATATGAATAAAAAGTAAAATAATTTTTCAACAAAATAAATTAAAACATCATTATTCAGTACTTTAAAAATTATATTTTATCATTTTAATTATAATATATATATATATATAACTCTATGTAAATATCATTTTTAGCATCAATTCAGATGCATTACGTAATAATATTTACTTAACAAAAATAATATATATATATATATATATATATTAAATATAATTTAACAAATAAAATATAGATTTTTGTTCAATAAATATTATTTAGAAAAATTTAATGTAAACATGTGTTATATATATGATAAAAATATTATGTATGTTTAAAATTTTAATATATATTTAAAGTATATACAGATTTATTTAACAAATAAAAAGCTTTTTAAAATATTAATTCAATTTTGTATAAAAAAAGTAACTTATAATACATTGTTATTGTTTGTAAAGATAGAAAAAAATAAACAAAAGTATTATATTACATAAATTATATAAGTATTTATATATATATATATATATATATATATATATATATATATATATATATATATATATATATATATATATATGTTTTAAATGTGTTTAAATTTAAATTTTTGTCAAATTTTTAACTTTTATATTTTGTTGTTTATTGTATTGTTCGAAAAATGTCAAATTGGTTACAATTAACTAAATTAAAAAACATTGTCAACAAATTCATATGATTATATATTATACACTAATTTAAATGAATCATCAAAATTATTGCTGTTATGAATGACAAAATAGATAAATAAAAAATAATAATAATAGTAACAAAAAAAATGTTTTTTAATATTTCTAATGTAATAATTTATTTATTTATTTTAAATAAAAGCATTCAATAAAAATGTGTTGACAATTGTCACACACACAACAAAAATTTGTATTTTTTAAAATAATTATTTTAGGTAACAAAATTAGAAAATTAAAATAGTAAAAAAACTATTTTTTTAGTTATAAGTTTTAATTACATTTTGAAAAATTTTCAATTCAATGATTTATTAATTAGCCATAGGATTTTTATTTTTTAAATACAAATTACAATTTTAACATAAAATTTTGTAATAATATATATATAAATATATATAATATCCGTTTTTCTAATACAATTTCAATACAATATAATACTATTATATAGAGTTGACAGATAATTATTGTGGAATAAATCTATTTAATTGGACACTCTATACTATTTCATAATAAATCTAACTATTTATATATATATATATATGAGATCTGCTAATTGTAGTCATCCATTACATTCAGTGACCATCAAAATGACTGTGACTTATACGATAAGTTAGGTTAGGTGTGTGTGTGTGTGTGTAATGGCTATTATACTGAAGCTCTCACTTATAGTCAATATGCCATCAATACAATATAACTTATATATATATATACAGTATATACGGTATATACATGTAAATTGTATATATATATATACTATTTTATACAGTATATTATATAAGATATATATAGATCTATATATATATTCCCCAATGAGTTAGAAGCTACTAATGAGTAAATTTTAGGAAAGTGTGTGCAATGAAGCACTGGTAGCCTAAACAACAACAACAGAAACATATTAGTGAATGCCATTGATTGAGACAATGAGCCGTAAAATTAAGACACAATTTATTCATTGATATTCACACATAAAACTCAATCACTGCCACTCATTATATATATATATATATATTGTTGTTGTTGTTGTTGTATGTGAAGTGTTATATACCATTTAATGTTAGATATATTTTTTATAAAGAATATGATATATATTTCTATACATAATATTAGTAACATTATACATATAAATGTATATTTTATAATATATAGTATAGTTTATATAGTTTAATATATATATTGATGTCATTAAGTTTATACATTAAATAATAATAATAATAATAAAAGTAATGCATTATAATAAGCGGCAATTTAAAAGCATTATAAAAATAAATCATTTAAATTATTTACACGATTTTTAATCTAAAAAAAAGAAAAACAAGTAATATATTTATATATATATATTTATATACAGTAGTATCATATATTATATACAAATTATTTAATGGATT